TGGTTGGCTGGCTGAATTGCTGGCTGGCTTAACAGCCACAATGATGACGATGAAGGCGACAACCCACCTTTTTAAACACGCAACATTGCAACAATGCCAGAGAATGGCTCAACAACGACAACGTTGCTGCTGTTGCTGTTGTTTGTTTGTTTGTTAGCCAAAACAAATACTTAAAGGCTTAACATGCATAACTTTTAACACCATTTGCAGCCAACATGGCATGCAAGTTGCAGAAGAAGAATTCAACTGAAAAAAAAAAATGGTATTATGGCCACAAACTTGAGTGATGAACGGCTGCAGAGAGCTACCGTTTTTTGGTGGCAAAATGTTGCTGCTTTATCGCCAAACTTTACTGCAGCAAAGTCAATATTTGCACGTGACACGCCATCTCGGGGTTTTAGAAGGCAATCAAAAAAAAAAAAAAAAAAAAAGACTGCAGCAAAAGAAAAACAAGGATTGCCACCAAGGACTTACAAATGACAATTGACAAACAGTTAACGCTGTTTGCCACCTTCTTCTTTTCTTCCATTACATATTGCAAATTGTCTTTTTTTGCAAGAATTTCAACGCAAAAATGATTTGTGGCCTAGCCTAAATAGTTTTGCCAGCCTTTTTTTCGCTGGCTCTGTGAAGGCCATATAAATTCGTGTGTGTGTGTTAGTGTGTTTGAATTTCTTGGCAAGATTGTTAGTCATTTGTTGCTGAGGAACGTACGTAGACACACACACGTATTTTTTATAAAAGATAATTTGTTAAATATTAGCCATCATGTTAATATTTGCATAGAGGTGCCACATTGTCAATGTTCAAAGTAATTTACATGTAGTAGACGACAGCAATAGATAAATACTCGTCTGTGGAGGATTTAGAGGAGACAATTTTTCGTCGTTGTTGCTATTAACGCCTTTCAGCTGGTTTGGTGCTTGTGAAGGAGGATGTAAAGCTCTGACTAGGCTATTTAAATTGTTATTGTATCTTGTCAAAGTAATTAGCAATATTTAAGCTTGTTATTATTTCGATTAACAATTCATTTTGCCATGGTGACAGATTGGGTGGAAATTTTTCGGAATGAAAGGGGAGTGGGGGAGGGGAAAAAGGGGAGCGAGAAAAATGAGATATATATAAAATAAAATTTATTCTTTTGACAATAAAAAATTATGAAATGAAGACATCATTCATTTACGAGAATAAAATTTTTTCTATGGGCCTCCAAACCCAAATCATTTTTCGAAGCTATTATTGGAAATTTAAATTGAATTTTAGAAATTATTATCTGTTCAGATTTTGATATAGTTTTCACATAAATTATCCGACCATTTTGAAAACTTGATGATCCTTAGAAAGGCGATTGAACGTAGCCGAATATAAACCAAATGTTAGATGTTAAATGGCTTGGAGTCGAAAATTTTTGACTTTAATTTTTATTTGGATGTTTGTAAAGAAGAAAATACTAGGGTTTCCAAATATAGACAAAATTTAGGAAGTGTTTCGAGGGAAGAATTATATACACGCCTTGAAAAGACAAAATATTATTGGAAATTTTAAGTATGATAAAACGACCTAATTTGCAACTCCATTAATCCGGAAAAAAGGGAGTTTTTTCTACATTTTTATTTGAGGTGCCTATAGCCTCTACATTTTAGTTACTTGACTATCAAGAATTTTTGATTTTTTTTTTGTCCAGATTGACAATATTTGGAAATGGTATTTTTGTACATCACCTCAGAAAACTGATTTTTGGGCTTTGTGGTTCTGATGAACAAGAAATTGTTTTGCCAACAATTTTAGAGATGTTATTCAGAAACAATCCGGTATTTTAAAATACGTCCCATTTTTCTGACCGCCTTAAATTCCTATAAAATGAACGGCAGTCCCATTAAAAAATAAACCTCCAGAAATCATACTTTTGAAGGTTTTAGCCACAGTTAAAGAAAGAAATTTAAACATACGTTCACTTTTGGAAAAACTTCTTTCATTTAAATATTCTAAAAATTTTCTAAAAATTTTTAAATTTGAATATTAGTCTCCGCCAGATTACGAGAATTTTGAAATATCCAGAAAAATTTATTATCAGGCTTGGAAATTAAGGATAGGAAGACTCTGGCAACGACAAAAATGTACCACTTGAAATTAAGATTTTCAAGGTTTTAGCCATATTTCAGAAAAAATAAGTGAGCGCTGTGGGATCTAATGGCCCATCAATGAAGAAACAGTTTTTCACTTGGGTCCATTTTTCTCAGTGGTCTTTTTATTTTTTCCGAGGGTCTGGATCCCAGAATCTTACCGTGAAAACCCCCCCCCCCCTCGAGTTCTTCCAGCAACGTAGGAACTTAGTTTTTCTTAACTTATTTTTTCTTATTTTCCTTCTTCATATCCCATCTCGATTTCATGCCAATACCGGACATCGTTGTCGAGACCAAAAAGAACACATACTAGAATCTTTGCCTACAAACACCGATACATATGTGTGTAGGCTAGCTGTACGATGTTGCACGCAATAAAGCCTAAACACGTTATCTCTACAGGCATGGATGGCAATGTTGGCCAAGATAACACAACACAAACCACATTGACAAGCGTTTAAAATGTTGTAAAATCAATGTTGGCCAAAAACAACCAGACAGCAATAATTATCTTCTGGAATTTTAATAACCATTTATGAAAATATAACGCGTTTTAATTACTGCAAGTTTTGTTTCGAGGGGCAACAAGAAATGGCCACCAAGAAAGCTGATGTGGTGTGGGCTTGCTGGAGAAAATAAAATTCCCCCGGTGCCATGAAAAAGGAAATGAAGGACAAGTGGCATTATGGGTTACACCGATTAATTGCTAGCTTGTTGTCAATTATATACATAGAAATTGTAACCATATATATGTATCGGCCATTGTGATATGGTGAATTTGCAACCATTTGGGGAGTAAGAAAAAACTATCCCGGTTGTCATATTTGTATGAAGCCAAAAAAAAAAAAAAAAAACAATTTTTTCTCCATATCCACACTCAATGTAGTAACAACATGCCAATGGTATGTTGCAAATGCAACATTATATGGCGAATAGCCAGCCAGCCAGCCAGCCAGGCATTTCATTTGATTGTTGTTGATTTCAATTAATTTGCAATCTCTCTAAGGTATTGTAACAAAATCAACAACATTTTTTTGTTGTTGTTGTCGATGTTGCCCCCACTCGCTCTCTGTCGAACCTATGTTGGCTGGTTGCTACTGCTATGATTGTCATGATGCTGACAATAATCATCAATTGCCTTTCCAGTCCAACAAGCCAGCCTTTTAGTAACTTAGACTGATGGGTTTCATCATTGGCCTGTTAGCCAAGATTGATGTTAAATACGGTCATAGCCTGAAAGAAGTCTTTGTTTATTTGAAATGGCTCAAAATGATAGGCTTAAATGGCCTAACAAATGTCATATGTTACAAATATCTGGTTGATGTTGTGTTCGATAGATGTGAGTATGAAGAGAGGGGCCTTTTTCTCTGTGTTGTTGGCGGTGTTATACCTTATGGAAAAAAATCTCTGATGATTTGTGTAGCAGTTGTTAGTCAACCAAGCCAAGCAACTATTGTGTATTGCAAACGCGTTGCAAATTGCTTTGCAATTAGTTTTTCATTAAATTAAAACGCGTTGCAATTTTTGTTACCATATTAAGATTTTTAATTGCAAAAATCTTTTAGATTGTTGACTGACTGACTGACTGATGTGGTTGTTGTTAGTGTTAGCGTTGATGTTGTTGTTGTTTTTATTGCAAGTGATCATTTTTTCGCCTTAAAGTGAAAACGATTTCACAATTGCCAACGATGTGTAACTCGATAAAGCGTTTTGTTTTTTTTTAGACCCTCTCTCTCTCTCTGGCTCTGGCATATGATTTGACATATAACCATTGGCTAGCCTGAAACGCCTGACTGTTAAAACGAACGGTTCATGTAATTATACGCCTGAGTCTCTTATGACTGACGGACTGAAAGACATTCGGCCTGTCTGGCTGGCTGGCTGGCTACTTGGCTTTGCCCAGGTTCGGCCAGGTTTTGATTTCATAACTATTTGGTGTTGTTTGTCATTTAATTAATACCAAATTAGTTTGAATTCTTTTATTGAATTGTTGTTTTTCTTGTCGTTGTTGTTTTTGTTGTTGCAGTTGTCATCGTCAATTTTTATTACAAAACTAAAACAACAAATGTTTTTATGGGATTTTTTTGTTTTATTTAAAAAAAAAAAACCCAAAACATATTCGATTTTGTTAAATATTACGGCTGTGATTTCTTGCGAGGCCCCCAGAGAGCTTTAGAGTTATTTAAATTATTTCGTTGTTTTGTTTAACATGTTTTCTTAAATTTTGTTTTGGCATTTTGTGTTTTATTGACATGGGATTTGGTTACAACAAAAATTAAATTAAAAAAACGCCTACGGACTTTTTGGGAAATTTATGTCTGAGAAAAAAAAGAGAAAATTCCATGGAGATCTTTAGAGAAAGAAGATGAGGAAAAAGATGTGAGAGGGTCCAAGCGGATATTTGGGGTCTCATAAAAGCTTTTTGAAATGTGTTTTTATATTTGAAACCCAGTTTAGGTATTATTGGTTTTTCAAAATCGAATTTGGGATACTATTTTATCTATTTACGAAAAAAATCGGGTTTCAGGCACGGAAATGGGTATTAAGGCGTTCGATATGAAAATTGAGATTTTATGAAAACTTTTTGAATCGATTTTTGATATTTAAAAGTTCTGTTTAAAATACCTTCTACGCCAAAATAATTGTCAATCACATTTGGATTTCCTTCTGGGGAAGAATATTTAAAAAAAAAAAAATAAATAAATAACTAAATAAATAAAATAATAATTGTCAAGACATTCCCCTTCAAGTCCTTTCTTCAAAATTTAGGCCACTATGATGATAACATTTTTATTTTTTTTATTAAATTTAAAAATATATATTTGAATTTTGAACTTTAACTAATAAACCCCCTCTCTTTTCTTTCTTTCCTTTCAGATGCCAATGAACCGCCACGCATCAAGTGCAACTTGCGCAAACACAAGCCAAATCGTAAACCCCGCACGCCATTTACCACCCAACAACTACTCTCTTTGGAGAAGAAATTCCGTGAAAAACAATATCTCAGTATAGCAGAGCGGGCGGAATTTTCCTCATCCCTAAGGCTGACAGAGACCCAAGTGAAAATTTGGTTTCAAAATCGCCGAGCCAAGGCGAAACGTTTACAGGAGGCTGAAATTGAGAAAATTAAAATGGCTGCTTTGGGTCGTGGTGGACCAGGGGCCCAATGGGCCATGGCTGGTTATTTTCATCCAAGTCTAATGCATTTGGGTTAAAACGAAATATAAAGAAATAGACAAACAAACAAAAGCACCAAAGTTTCCTCATAACAAAACACAAAACGACCACAACCTGATCGTTGAGTCTTTCTGCAAGGCCAGACAAAAACATAAATATAAATTTATTATGCGCTTAGTTATTATTTAAAGAAACAAAACAAAATATAAATATTATCATTAATTATAGAAATAACCCCCCATAATTGCTGTGATGTTAGCGCATTTTAATTGTAAATAATTAATAAATTATAGAAAGAAAAAAAAAACAAAAATTTAAAAAACCAAAAAAAAAAAAAAAAATGAAAATGATTGGAAATTGTGAACAGAGGTTTGAGGTTCTCTAAGGCAAAACAGAAATATTTTGACAAACAAAAAAAAAAAAAAAATGGAAAGTAAAACTAGGGGACCCTGTTTCTTCATCCACTACGTGTAAACAATAATGACGACAGATACCCGCAGGCTAGATTTCGAATTATACTATGAAGAATTCTCTGATTTGTTTTTAACTCGAAAGAAAAATAAAAATTGCTGATATTTTTTCTTTGTTTAAATTTTTAAAATATCCTGGAATTTTCATTGGGAAACAGGACCCTAATTTTGTTTAGCCTTAGAGAATACTCCTAGCAACCAATTGTAAACTCCCTCTCTCATATTTTGTAAATTAATTCCACAGATAAATAGAATAATGCAAGAAAAACTAAATTTGATTCCTAAAATTTGAAATTGAACCCCAAAGTAACAAATTATAGAAATTAAAAAAAATACAATACCTTGTAAAAAATCATGTAAATAAATTATATATATAAATAACTAGTATTTACAAGAACCACATAAAGTCGAAATCATCTCTAAAATGTATTATATTTGTATGTAAAAACCCCTATCAAACAATTATTATTTATGTACAGTACATTACCTATCTAATCCTCCACGGGGCTATCCTCAAAACACCCAGGCTGGTAACATAGTTTTTATTTCATAAGAATTTGTTTTTATTTTAATTTTTCTTTCGGGTTGAATAATTCCTTGTTTTAGCTAGATAAAGCAGCCCATGTCTTTATAAATACATAAATATAGAATTTAATATTATATACAATAACCCTATATGATAATTATTATGATACATATATTCCCTAATATAATGCTGAAATTTAGATTTTTTTCTAGTTAAGAACGCTAATAGATTATTCATCTAATTAAGTGTATTAGCATATAAGCAAAACAAAAACAAATCATGAAAAAGAACTAAAGACAACAACAAAAAATGATTAAATTATAGAAAAGAAAAGTAATAACAAAAACAACACAAAAATATAATGAAAAATAATTTTTGAAAAAAAAGCAAGATGAGTAATCAATTATTAAATGGGATGGGGATCAGGAGATTCTTGGAAAAGTGGAAGAGTATGGAAGAATTGGGTTATTTTGGCTTGAACATTTGAAAGTACCAGAGTTTGTAGTTACTCCACTCGGAGATCTGTATGTCCTTTATGATTACCCTAAAAAAAGTGATATAAAAAGGAAAACCAAGTAAATGAAACGTTAAGTTGGGTCGAACTAAAATTTTTGTAACCTTCACCACGGACCTTCACAACATTTTTATGAAATCTGGATATCCGCTAAAGTTTCACATAAAAATATTGCTAATGTGCATGGGAAATACAATTACAATCCACAGGACCAATAACACAGATCCCACGTTGATAACTTTTGAAGGGTAAATTCTTCTCAATCGAAAATCCAAAAAGGCTAAATTAAATGAAAGACCTTCGAAATGTCGAAGATAGGAAGGTATCATAAATTTTTGAAGGAAACCCTGAATTATCGATTTGGTTTCCAAATAGTCGAAATGTACCATTATATGAGAGCATAGAACAATATTTAAAAATTTTCCCAATGCCAAATGTCCGCAATGCCAAATTATTGCCGATTCGTTGGAAACATTCAAAATATGAAAGCTGAAACTGTATACCATTCGTCCTGGGCGTAATATAAACTTGAGTGTCAAATTTCATAGCTCTACATAAAATAATCTGTTTATCGTCTTGATTTTAGCAGGTAGACAAGAGGACTGACCGACGGATAAGCTCAAATTGATTTAGAATTAAAAATTTTCCCGCTGCTACATAAAGAATGAAACATCAAATATCACCCAACATCTTAAGGGTTAAGGTATAATAAACATTTAATTTTAAAACCGATGACAACTTCATGTGCTGCCAATAAGTTGGTATGGCTCCAGTTTAAATATCCTCCTACCACTTGACATTAGCTGCCGACTTTTCGCTCTAAAATATCTAGTGAGATGCTTGCTTGCGTTAAAAAAGTTTACTCTCATAAGAAATTAATTTGACATTTGTATACTCTCAGTCATATGCCCCTCAAAGGGTATACATCATTTGGTACAGCCAAAACGTGGCTCATCTTATAAAGGTTTTAAACATTAGGTCTCTTTGGATGACATTCGTTTTGGGACATTTGGCATCGATCTAGCGATGATAGTCCGTCTGTCTGTGTGCGCACGATAACTATCGAAGGGAGCATCCACATGTAGTCCAACTTTGATAAATCGTAATATTTCTACACAATTTGGATCTACTTCGGAAATAGGCAAAATCGTTACATTCCTTCTGGTATATCACCCTCAAAAGTTCAACACTTAAAAAATAATAATATAATGTTGCCTTTTAAATCAGTAAGTAAAGACAAAAGTCCGGCGGTGCCTAACACTACTATGGATATTTAGTAGAGTTACCTATGGCAAAAAAACCGTTCATAAAGCGAGAGCGCTTTAAATTTAAAATCATTTGATACTAGCCTATGAAAACTTTATATTAATCGATTTTCACTAAACTTGACCACTCCATCTGGTATCTCTCCCACGAAGAGTACACATTTTTAATCATTACATCTATCATAGCACATAAATCGTATTTTTTCAATCTTTAATTTTGTATGAATAGGTCCACGTTTTTTTATACCATACATATAAAGATACCCACCGATATTCGGTATTTTGATAATCCTATCCACATTTATCCAAGAATTTATTTCAAATTTGGTATTTACGTAGATTTAGTAGAATTTTATTTGATTTTTTTTTTGTTTTGAATAGGGCGAAAGTATTAACGTATTTTGAATAAATTCTAAATACATTTCTATAGCACATTTTTTCTCTAAAATACTTACAACCATGGTACAATAATTTCCAAAGTATGATATATCAATCATCTGAATACAATTTTTCCTTTTGGTGGTCTTGCAGTGTCAAAACATGTGTACACTTTTTGTTTTTATTGTTTTGAATATTTAAAAAAAAAAATAATAATTTGCAAATTTTTCAAATTTCTTTCAATTTGAATCGATATTACAGCTTTTGAGAGGAACAAACATTTCCGTTTTGGTATGAACAAGAATTGCAATCATAAGTGCAATCGTGAAAAATCTCGGTCGTTTCATTCGTTTTTGGCGATTTTTCTCTTACATTCTCTCGTAGAAAAGTGTCAAATAAAAAACAAATTTTGGCATTTGTTATTAGTAAATTGGAAAACTCTATCTTCAGTGTTGAGTGTTTTCAAACGTATTCCTACCTTGTAATTATTGTACCATGCTTGTTCCTAGCTGTTGATGATTCCATATTAAAATCACTTTCGATAGGAAAAAAATCATCTGTGCAACGGTATTGAGTCTTCGACGAATACCAAGTTAACTCGAATCCTTTGTTAAAAGATATTTAAAGGACGCCTTGAAACTAAACAAGCCACAAAGTTCGGCCTAGCCGAACTTTTTATACCTCCATTCGAAAGTCAAAAAAAGTCTGTCAAAAATACTGCTTAAATCAAAACCTTTTATGGTGGATACGAAGACGTGGTGCTGGATAGTATTATCAAAGGCTGTAGTAACGATTCCGAACTTCAAATATGAAATTCGAAACAATTCCGGTAAATACTATCGCTAACATCATCAAAACGCCGAATAAATATAAGTACCGTTGTATGGGGGCTATACTAGACAATATTCCGTCATAGGTTGGTTACGAACTTAAAATACGAAATTTAGCGAAACTCCTGTGAATAATGTCGCGAAAATCCTGGAAGTACCAAATATCTCGGGGTAGCCTTATACGGGTGCTATACTAAAACGTAGACCATTGATAACTCGCTTCCTATCTCTATTTGTTTTGACTCTAACGTGGTTACGAAACGGAATGACGAACTACAATACCCTATATACTTTGTAAGATGGAGGGTATAAAAACAATCCTCATCAATTACTCTATATTTTAAATAACTGTTGAGTATCAATCGAAAATGTTCTGCTAAATATAAAGTAAACCAGTGAAGAAAGTCTTAACGTCGGGCGGGGCTGACTTTATGATACCCTACACCACTTTGCTAATTTAGTAGAGCTCCACATAACAATTAAAAGTTTTTATGGGAGAATTCAATCATATACGCTATGATTATAATTATAATTTAAAGTTTAAAGGACTAAATATGCCGAAGCATTTGTATCTCTTAAATTCGGACTTGTATTGCCCATTTGGTGCACAATTAATTTAAAATCAGATAAAGATATATATGGGATCTATATCCAAACCTGAACCGATCTCGGTAAAATTTGCCAAAGATATTTCTCAGCTGTATTTGATATATTTCCCTGAATATCGTTGTTACGGACTGCATATTACGGCTGTGGGTAACCAATATAACAAATCAGATGAACAGTATATATGGAAGCTATAGCTATTTCTGAGCCGATCTTCACCAAATTTGGCATACTAGCTTCTAGACTTAATTCGGTCATAAGTGCCAAATTCCATTTCATTTACGCAAATATTAGACGTTTGGTGCACAATAAAAGGTGAATCGGACGAAGTTATATGCGGGAGCTATATCCAAATCTGAACCGATGTCGATAAAATTTATCAAAGGTATTTCTGAGATGTTTTTGATATATTTCCCCAAATATTTTTGTTACAGAGTTCATATTACGACTGCGGAGGACAAAAATAACAAATCGGATGAACAATACATATGGGAGCTATAGCTATATCTGAACCACTTTCGATCAACTTTGGCATACTTATTTTCAGACCTAATACGGTTGTATGTGCAAAATTCTACATTATTCGGGCTGATATTACACGTTTGGTGCACAATAAAAGGCAAATCGGACGAACTTATATATGGGAGTTATATCTAAATTTTTACCGATTATCTCCAATTTCAAAAGGGTTCGTCCTTGGCCAAAAAAATTATTTGTGCAAAATTTTACCTGCATCGGGCAATAAGTGCGAACTGTAC